TATAGGGTCTTTTCCTTACTTCACATGACTGGCTATAGGTCTGTTCTGACCTAAGATTTTGTAATCTGAAGGCAGGTTATATAATAATAAAACCTGTAAAAGTGGCAGCATTCCGGTTATATTGTTACTTCAGAAAAGACACACTAACACATTTTCTATAGTTTTTGGCGAACAATTTAGATTTCTAAATATAATCTATTAACAATTGTTTCTCTGAATTGTGTCTCTGAATCCATGAGCCTGCTCAATATGCAAGTTCGCTGATCTGCTAAGTTATCAACCCTGAAAACTGTATTGTCTGTACTCTGCCTGCTTTAGGGCTATTGGCAAGGAAGGGCTGGGCTGGGGAGCAGGGGGACATTTGCCCCAGGACCAGTACCAATACAATATACTGGGATGGTGACTCTGAGTGGAGATACCTCCCCATTGAGACATCAGAGTAAGACCCTTTGGAAGGTCCTACATTTGGAAGGAAAAGGTTTGGAATTTAGAAGGATTTTACTGGTCATCGGTGATCTTCTCTATATTTGAGAGTTCCATTCCATTAAGTGTGTGCTAGTGGATTGTGTTATTACTTGTTATGCATGTTGTGATGTTAGGGGAATCCAGCAGGATCACAGGACACAGACTTTGCTATAAAAGTAATGTTTATTAACTTAAATAGCTTCACAGCAGCAACATAACGCAACAGTTCATGTTCATCTACTAGCTGGAAAACTTAAAGAGCGATTCTTCAACATAACAAAAAATAGTCTCAACGACTTGAAGATTTCAGAGCTGCAATCACAGTGAAACAGTCCCAGACCTTTGGGGGTAACTTCCCAGTCCACAGGTTTCCAGCAAGGTTACTGGCATGCACTCAGTGCCAGACCTAAGGTAACCCACAAACCCCCCCAATCCACACCCCCTGAAGCTGCAATGCAGAATGGCAGCTACTATAGAACAGTACTAATACAAGCAGTACTTTATACAACAAGTCCATCAGTTGGGCTACAAATAATAATCATTTTTGTGAATTATTTACTTTCACCTTTTCTGGCTAGTCTTCAACTGTTTTCTGGTGAGGAGGCTGCAGAATAACACCCCAGTGTGTGTGGAGACAGCGCGCCCGTGTGCTCAGGCAGCTGCCTGCTGGGTCCTCACGACCGAGGTCCCAGCGCTGCCTCCTTGATGTGCCTGCAACCTTTTTCATTCCTCGGCTCCCTCCTCATTATCCGGCGGCCAGCAGGCCCCATCATCTTTGTGCTGGGAGTGTCGGATCAGAATCTGGCAGCCGGCAGGCCCCCCCATCTCTGCGCCGGGAGTGTCGGATGTTCAGATTGGTTTGCCAACGGGCCCATCCATCTCTGCGCCGGGACTGTGTTGGATTGTATACTGGGCCCCCCCAGGCTTGCACTGGCGTTAGGTCCGGCCCTGCATGCACTTTCACAGCAATACATAATTTCACAGTCTCCAGGCTCCTCTACACTCCTCCACACTACTTCTCACCTGCTATCTACCACTTCCTGTCTTTTAAACACACTTCTACTAGCAGGCGAGCTAACCCTGTTTTGTCCCTTAAAGGGACCATAGCCCAAACAGAGGGGAAATATAGCATTCCGGTGTCCTGCACAATATTTACATTTGATATTTGAAGTAGTATATGGTTTACGATAGTCATGCTCTTTTAATAATTGATTGTATATCTATCACTTGCAGCAGCTGAGGGTAGGTTTATATACATACAGTATATTTAATTTCGATAGACGTATAACTAAGTGAATTAATGACTCGGGTCATAGTGTTAAGAATACAAATGTGAAGCCTGTTTGTATTTTATTGTCTATTGCAGGTCAGCAGGAAGTTGACAGCAAAATACTGGAGAACAAAGGTGACAGCAGAATACTGAAGAACAAAGGTACGTGCTAAAAAATGACTCTTCTTTATACAAGACTGTTATAGTGTATATAAACCTTAACAAAAAGCTTCTTTCATTTGCTCATTTTCGGTCCGTTAAATATACTATTGAAAGCATTTTGTTATATTTGTTTGAAAATATAAAAAAATATACATGTGGGTCTTAGAGTCATATTAAAAGTCAAAGGGTTTATGAGCTATTTTTAATGCTGATTAACTGCCTTAGAATGGATGCTGCTTCTTGATGTTTAAAAGTTTTAGCTTCCTACAGAATCAGCTGGTTCCCTGAGCACTGGCCCTGATATTTTGTTATAGGGTGGCTCCTTTCCCTTGCAGGGTCCTATGGAGCCACCCTTGTGTGTGCTAGTAAGCTGTGTGTGAGTCTCCACAAATACAAAGGCACAGCAAGTCAAGCCACTTCTATCCCCCCCCCTGCTCCCCATTTTTCCTTTCACCCTTCTCCTAGCTAATAGATGGATGGCTGCTGCAGAATGATCTGTCCCGTAAGACCTCATACTGGACAAGAAGTTAAGGGCAGCTGAGTTGAGAGAGTTGGAGCCAGCTGTTTGGAAACACGATGACAGTGCTTGGTGAAAGATGTGAGGAAATCCTTTGCTCAATGTATATTTGTTTGCTCTGGATTTATTAATGAAAAAAGGTTTGAGAGTTTAATACTACTTTAACAGAAAATCAGAGCTGCCCGGTGTCCTTGCCACACTTCCTGTGTTGTCTCAAAGAGCCCTCCTAGTGCTACAGAGAGATCTGAGAGTGGGAGTGGTTAATAGTTTAGCAAAAGACCAGGAGATGGGTTGACAGCATTTAGTTCACAAAAAGAACTGTGGAGGAAATGTCTCAAAACTGGAGCTTCTTTGTTAATTTTTTTCAGTTGAGCTTTGAAATTGAAAGTTAGAAGCTGATTGGTTACAATGGGCAACTGCTCCAGATTCTGTCTGCTCCAGCTTTGATACATTTCCCCCTATGTGTTGTCAGCCCATATCAGTGCTTAAAAGTGAACTCTATGCATATAAAAAGACACAAATGAATGCAGCTTTGTAATCATTGATACATCATGAAATCTATTGTTTAAATGCAAGCAGTGTAAGTATGTAAATCTGACTTGGTATCAGTCTCTGCATAGCAGGTCTGGAGTGTGATAGCAGCACAAAGAGCCAGTTAGTTCATGTGCTCACTACAGCCATGCTAATAGAAGAAGAAAGCAGAGTGATACAGAGATGATGTCATCACTCTGCTGCTTCTCCTTTTACTGTCCAGTAACAGGCTTAGACAGGTCTAGGCGAACCTGGGCTCAGAGGAAATGGGTTACATGATGCTGATCATCAGACTAAAGACATCTAGGAGTATAAAATGTACTACATATGCTCATAAGAAGCTACATAACTAATGAGGGCTGACTGAGAGCGCTCATCTCCGGCAGTAGGCAAACACTGGAGATAAGCGTTGTCAATCAACACAGCTCCATTTACAACTCAAGCACTAGTAAAAGATCATTCAGCTCTGTCAGGGCTGTAGGGTCTATCTGCTCGTGTTGTGTATACCCCCTAAGCACCCAAAGACAAAACTACTCTCTCATAGCACCCAGGTTGTCAGACAGCGTGCTACAAGGTCCGATTTTTGTAGTTTACAGCAGCCCTGCACACACAACACACAGCTTTTTAATGGTAATTGACATATCCAGTGCAGTGTGCAAATGATAATTTTGCCCAATTGTGGATTTACCTTAAATATAATTTCTGCAAACTAATGTTGGAATAATGTGAGAGGTAGAAAACGATGGCTACTCTCTAGTAATTGTATAAGACCTCTGCATTTAGATAGCTACTTAGTAAATTCAGTTAATTATGTTGTATTTGTTTTGTTGGTCCGGGTAAAAAACATAAAAATCTGACTTGGCCAGCGTTGCTAGAAAATTTGAGCAGGACCACAGCAGTCAAAGGGCTAATGGCTGGTATGCTCGCAGTGTGACTACTAAGATGCAGTGATGTGTATATATATATATACTCATGTTTTACATATCATTTTTATATTACATTACAACAGATGGAAATGTCACAGAGACAGATGCACAGTTGTCACAGTAAGTGATTTTTTTTAAAATATTGATCATTATTTAATGGATGCTTATTGTTTAGTTGGGTTTTTTTGTAAGTTACACTGGGGGGAATTCATGAAAACAAGAGCAGACAGTTTACTTATGACAATCAGTCAGCTTCCCTTTTTAGTTTGTTCAATTAAGCTTTGAAAATGAAAGAGGGAAGTTCAATGGTTGCCATGGGCAACTGCTCCAGCTTCTGTCTGATCCAGTTTTTATGAATTCCCCCCACTGTCACTTGAAAAGTAAAGCTGCAAGCAAGTATAATGTGCAGGCACCTGCAGCAGCTAAATTGTTTCCTGCAGACCTCCATGCAGAGCCGTTCTACAACAGGCAAAGCCCAAACACTTCCCTCTAATGTTGGAGATTGTCCATTCTATTCTGTCTCTACATTTCTATTGGCCCATTCATCACTGGCTAATAGGAATGTATGAAAGGGGGCAGGCAAGCTCTAAGACAAGCACATTTCAGAACTTTGCTGGTTCAGAATGGCCTGGCATTTAGGCAAGCTGGAAACAATTAAAGCTGCTGCATGTGTACCTGCTAGCTATCCTCTTCTGTCTTCATGTGCCACACTTTCTACAGTGTCGGAGTCTGTGAGAGCAAGTGTCTGTAGAGCTCCCTTTCACCTGTCTATAATATCAGTATCCTTCATTGTTTCCCATAGCCGGGGAAGACTCAAGCTGGTTGCTACTCATACAATGAAAGCAGTGATTATAAGCATAAGAATATACGTGCTCCCAACAGCTGTCATAGCCACCAGCTTGAGTCTTCCGCTGTCAGAAAGGATGCCAATATCATAGCTGGGGGATGGAGAGCTTTATGGGCTCTTGTTTTCACATCCTCCGACTCTAAGTGTCGCATTCTCTTTGTCTGGAAGATGCACTTTATCTCAAGCTCATAGAAATAGCAAAGCATCCTGAACATCATATGTAAAATAAGATATTTATTCAGTCAAATCTAAAAATTACTTTTAATCATTTTGTAAGGTTCCATGCACTTGATCCAGTTGCAGAATATAACATGAAACACAAACGCCGTGGACTGGCTTTAATCTTCAACCATGAATGGTACCACTATGAATTTAGAATGCCTATGAGAAAAGGTACTGAAGCTGATCGATTTAACCTTGAGAGAAGGTAAGAGCAGAAACAGGGGATGGAACGTTTCAATACCCAGAATCCGCCTGTCCTAATGTTATCTATTAACAATCTGATTTCTTCTTCTGAATATTGGACATAGACCCAGCTGGGATCTAGTGGTACAGAGGTGTGCACTGTCCTGGAATGAGGACTAAATCCCTTGTTTTCTAGATTTCTGTTGGAAGTAATGCCAAATAAATGTCATCTCTTTGAAGATGCTTCACCTCTATGCCCTATTTTCTCACAGCAATTATTCCCAGGGACAAATACATTGACATGCCGGCCAGAACCATTTCCATAGTCCAAATATGCTGCCTGTGTAAAGAAATCCAAGATTCCCAGGTGGTGCATGTTCCATAAAGTAGATCTCTCCTTTGTTTATTCTACACCTCCAGTATGCAACAGGAGTCACGCCACCTTCTTGTAGATGTTGACTGACTTTAAAAATGTGATTAGGACTCTCACATCCCCATTCCTTAGGTTATAGCTTCCTGCACTATTTTTAATTTGTCACTACTGCCACCACTACTATGTATTAGAGGTACTGATCTCTGAGTGTTTGTACTCATTCTCCGGCTGTCTCCGCCCACACACCGCTCTGCCGGTCTGTCACAGTAGGCTGAGCGGTGTGGGAGAGATGCCGGCCGCTAACAGTGCTCTCCTCCCGCAGCGCTCGGCCGCCTGTGACAGTTTCTCTCCTCCCCCCTGGGACACAGATCAGCGCCCAACGGGAGGAGAGAAAGAACGGAAGCACCGCTGTATCGGCCAGAAAATGGTGCTTTCGGCATTATATCGATATATATCGGTGCATCCCTACTATGTATACCTAATCTGATTTTCTTTTACGAAATAACTTTAAAGATCTACTCTGCCCAACAGAGTTTCAGTTTTGATGGCTAACCAGTCGGTTAAATCATTACCAGCCTTGGATATTCCACAAGTGAACACACAGGGCAATAGTCTAGCAATTTCAACTAGCTTTTAAAAGTAATTTACCACCAACAATGTACGTATTGTAATATCCAGGGCGGATATGACCCATAGCCAGCCGTATAAGCAAATAAACTTTTATTCTTTTCCACAAACAATCAAATAAAATGGCTTATATTCAGCAGAATGACAAAATCAACAGGGCTTATTGTCAGCAAATGCAAAATTCGGCTCAGCGCCTGTATACTAAGTCCCACCTCAGGGTTAGAGTCCCAGCCTGCTCACAGAGGGTTCCAGTATGGACACAGGCAGTGTCTCGGTAGACTGTATTCCACAGCTTAACACACATAGCCATGTGTCCTGCTCCAAACACTCCTCACAGATACTGACTGACTGGCTTCCTGTTCCTTTTTAACACACCTTCTGGCTGGTGGGTTAACCCTTTCATTACCAGAACTGGCTGTAGTCAGGGATGGAGGCTCTGTTCCACCCAAAAATCTCACTGAGCCTCTTGATTCCGGGACTCATGTATATTTAACAACTCTGGGAAGACTGCCTAGCACTTTCCCTTACAAGTCCGACCCGGAACCCCTCACCCTGCTTGGCAAGAACCCTGAATACCTAACGGGACCACCACCTAAACAAGGGAGAGATATACCGTCCATCCAGGACCCATTCCTGGTGTCCTGTACACTATTTATATGGCCGGTAAGATAGGATATTTGATCTGTGAGATTGTTTTTGCAAGCATAGTGTTAAAAGTAGCTGAAATTGTAAAAAAGTTCATCTTTCTTTCAGTTCTGGGTGTTAATAATTTGAGTGGGAAATTACCAGTGCAGAAACACCTTAAAGGAGAACTATGGGGTTAGGGCTTTTCCCCATAGTTCTCCTAAGGTTAACGGGAGGACACAAACTAGCGTCCTCCAGTCACCCTAAGTTCAGTATACCGCGAGCTGTAGCTCGCTGTATACTGAGACGCTGCAGCTGAAACGGATCCCGACAATTATGTCTGGATCCGCCCAGCTGCGTGAGTGACAGCTGGCTCTGCCTATCTAGAGGCAGAGCCAGCTGTACCCGCCCCGTCCGTCCTGCCAGTCAGCGCTGGAGGATCGGAGCGGGGAGGGGGGAATCCAGTCCCTCCCCTGTCACGTCTCTCTGCCGTGACCAGATCGAGAAGTGAGCGAATGCCGGTATGTGTTCGCTCATTACCCGATCTACTGAGCCGACCTGTGACAGTTTCATTGTTACAGGTCGGCTAGAACTATGAGGATGAGTGAAAAGCACTCACCTCATAGTTCTCCTTTTTAAGGATTTAGGATATCTAAATAAAATTATTTGTGGAAATTTTAATAAAAATCTAAATTTTAATAACTTTCAGCATTAGTTCCCATGCAGTAAGTACACTGCAAATTACTAAAGTTAAGTCCATCCCTGTAAAGAGAAACATAGTAACATAGGTTGAAAAAAGACACCTGTCCATCGAGTATAGAATATTAACTGCTTTACTTGTTTTTTTTAGGTTAAATCAGCTTGGCTTTGAGGTTAAGGTCTACTTCAACCTGCCAGCAGCCGATATACATAAAAAAATCCAAGATGGTAAGTAAATTGAACTGAAAATCTTAAATAATCTGAATTAATGCCTAATCCAGATTTAGTGTTGTCCTTGTCAACAGTAGTAGCTAAAGAGAGGACCCTTTATTCTTAAACTTGGCTGGAATCAAGGGTTCAGCATTGGTAAATAATAGGTAGGTCCCTTTAATGTTGGTCATATATTAAAACTCTGTATCTTTCTTTTTGCATATATATTAACATAATAATGACATTAATTAATAATAAGGACAGTAATTCTTTAATTATTTCTCTCTAGCTGCAACAAGTGACCACAGTGACCATGACTGCTTCCTTTGTGTCTTTATGAGCCATGGAGAAGATGGTCATGTTTTTGCCTACGACGGTAAAATCGAAATTAAGGAACTGACTAGCCCATTTAAGGGTGACAAGTGCAAGAGTTTAGCAGGGAAGCCTAAAATGTTCATATTTCAGGTAACTGCAAGGCTGAGTCTTTCATTTGTAGATCTCACCACTCTACTGGCAGACTTATAATAATAGTTGATGTACAGTACAATTAAGCATAGAGGCTATGGCAGGGTGACTTCCCATTTATTTGCAAAAGTATGCAACATAAACCTTTTTTTTTGTTAAAGGAGAATTATGAGGTGAGTGGTTTTCACTCAGCCTCATAGTTCTAGCCAACCTGTGACAATGAGACTGTCACAGGTCGGCTCAGTAGATCGGGAAGTGAGCGAACACATACCGGCGTTTGATCACTTCTCGATCCTGTCCCTGCAGAGAGCAGTGACTGTCACTCAGGGCTCCCTGCAGGGATTCCCACCTCCCCTGTCCGATCCTCCAGCGCTGACTCTAGATAGGCAGAGCCAGCTGTCACTCACGCAGCTGGGTGGGAGTTTGTATGTTCTCCCTGTGTTTGCATGGGTTTCCTCTGGGTACTCCGGTTTCCTCCCACACTCCAAAGACATGCTAGAAGGTTAATTGGCTCCTCTCTAAGTTGGCCCTCTGTGTATGCATGTGAGATAGGGACCTTAGATTGTAAGCTCCTTGAGGGTAGTGAATGATGTAAAGTGCTGCGTAAAATTGACGGCACTATATAAATACCTGTAATAAATAAAATCTCAACAGTAATGTCAGGATCCGTCCCGGCTGCGGCGTCTCAGTAGAACGCTAGTTTGTGTCCTCCCGTTACCCTTAGGAGAACTATGGGGAAAAGCCCTGACCCCATAGTTCTACTTTAACAGTGTAGAGTTTGTGGTTTGTAAGTGTGCTGGGAAGCCTTTTGTATAGTTTTTTTTATGTGCACCCTACATTAGAAAGCTAGTTATCAATTGATTAAAGCTGTAGCCATTGTTGCTATACTTAAAAGTACAATTGCAAAGTAAAACTTCAGTTATGGGTGAATGTTGAAGCGTTTGTGAAGCCAAAACCTTTTTTGAGTTGAAAATAAAATAGGCAATAGTAATAGTTACAACCCCTGAAATGTTTTTGTTTTTTTTGCTGTCTGTTTCCTAATGGGGGAGACTTCTCTTTACTTCCTGTCCCAGAGACCCAGCAGTAGGTAAGAGGAGATCTCTCTAAGGTCTGGTTCATACTCAGCGTTTTGTGGCGCTTTTTTTCTGCCTTATAAAAAAAAGGCTCCAAAAATATGCCCTCCAAAAAAATCCCATTCATTTCTATGGCCCTGTTCACATATGAGCGTTTTGTCGCAATAAGCAAAACGCCTGTCGCTGGAAAAAGTGCCTTTTTTGGCATATTACAGTTCGTTTTGGCCCCATAAACTCAATACAAAATGCTTAAAAATGCGCGTTTGCTGTGTTTTTGTGCGTTTATATGCACATTTGCTCATTAACATCAATGAGCTACAATCTGCTCACAAAAACGCTCAATTTGATTTGTGCGCAAAAACCGTGCATCAAAAACACACAAAAACATGCATCAAAACGCACAAAAAGGCTGTCGCCTAGGTGTAAACCCAGCCTAAAGCCAAGGGAAATCCCCGTTCAGACAGCTATCAATGTCAATAAGTTTTCCTATAGGAAGATTTGTTTCAACTTCTGTCCTGTTTTTTGGGGCACATGGAGCTCCTGGGATTTGTGCATCTCTGTTTTAATGTATGATTTCTTTTATATAAATATATAGCAGGGATGCACCGATACCATTTTTCCAGTACAAGTACTGATACTTGTCCAAGTACTCACAGATACAAGTACTGATACATTTTTGTTTATTGTCATGTGACAGTTTTTCTAAAACAATACAGACTAATGATTTCAGGACAGTGGTGGAGAGCCAGGGCCCTGTCACAGCTGCAACCACTGCAACCCTGGGAGTTCTTGTGAAAATCCCAAGTATCGGCCCTGGTATCTGAACAGGTATCTGAACATCCCTACCTGTGACTACTCAAAAATGTTGCCCATTACTTTATGTACCAGAGACAATGATTCTCATGGCTACTGTATTTCAGAGTGAGCCCACTGTTATTGCCACTAGGCTTATCTCCACTCAACCACTTGAATTCCCCAGAACAAAGTTAGACAACACAATAGCGGGTTTTAATGGCCATGGTGGTCCTTTTATTCAAAATTCTATTCCAACAGATAACAGCAATTCACATGAATACTAAAAGATTAATGGTCCTTGATATTTGATGGCCCCCAGCCACACCTTACCACCTTGGGGACAGAAAAGCCTGCCACATCATAGATTCCATACACCCATCCTAGGTCAACATCAGCTTGATCAAATAAAGACCTGGGATGACATACCTTAAACAGGTCTCTACTAGGGATGCACCGATATATCGGCCGCCCAAACATATCGGCCGAAAGTGCCATTTTCCTGCCGATACATTGACGCATCCCTGATTTCTTTCCTCCCCACTGGCCGCTGCTCCATGTCCCAGCCGGGAGGAGAGAAACTGTGATAGCCGGCCGAGCGATGCGGGAGAAGAGCGCAGTGAGCGGCCGGCGTCTCCTCCCTATCACAGTCCGGCAGATCGGTGTGGGGGCGGAGACAGCACTGTCACAGGAGGCTGAGCACTCCTCCCAGCACCACTCGCTCAGCCTCCTGTGACAGCGTGTGAGAGAGCAAGGTACACACACTCAGAGATCAGTGATCGCTGAGTGTTTGTACATATTTGAGGATATGGTATGTTTACTATATCCTCAATTATGAAAGAATGGGAAGTGATCTACATCACCCCCTGTTCATTCATAGGTGTAGTTATAGTAAACAAACTATGTACTCATGTTATGAATGAACAGGAACGCTCATAGAGGATTCCTGTTCACTGATAACAGGGGAGAAAGAAAAAGAGATTGAGGACTTTGGTGTCTATTCACTAAGCAGCCGAAGGATCTAGCCGTAGCTTCTGCCGATCCTTCGGCTAGCTTCGGCCCCAGGACCCCTTCGGTTCAGTAGAACCGAAGGGCTGCTGTACGGGCTATTCACTATAGCCCGTACAGCTCCTGAACTTGGCCGAGCGGCTCAGTCGAGCTGAACGCATATGCCTTGGCTCGGATGAGCCGCGCTGAAAGCCGAAGCTGGCCGAGCGGCTGGCCTTTGGCCGACAGCCTGCTTCTGACAGCTGGGCGGAGCCAGCCGTGATCTTACGGCTGGCTCCGGCCACTTGCAGAGAGATCAGCGTCCCTGGTTACCAGCTAACCAGGGACACTGATCTCCAGACAACCTAACTCTCCCTGGCGCTCCGGGAGTCTCCCGTTCCCGGCCGCCAAGGAGAGAAACACTGCTTTTTCTCTTTTTCTTTATTCTGACACGGAGCCGTGTCGGTAGACTGAAAGACATGAATAATGTACAATTTTGCACTGAGCAGTCGCCTCATCCTCTAGTAACTAGCTTTTTGTTGGCTAAAGCCTGAACATGCCTTAAACAGGAGCAAAAAAAGCTTGAAATCCGCCTGATGTTCAAGTGTGAATGGAGTTTGTGATCGCAGCAGTATACTCAGGGTGAGTGCTAGTCTATTCTGCGCCCTAGGCAAGACCAGCTACTTGCGCCGCCAGACGCCCGCCCCCCAAAAAAACATAAAAATTGGCAAATTTGATTTTTAAAGACAGAGTTGTAGAAAAAAATAAAACATGAAACTGTTAAATTATACAGCAATGCAGGAAACCACCAGCTATAGAGGATAATAAATCCCAAAAATATATTATAAAGCAATGCAGAATAATACCATCAGCTATAGAGGACTACAAATCACATCAATACATTATACAGCAATGCAGAATAATAGTATATGAATTCGCTACATACGCTGTGCTGCTGCTCTGTTCTGGGGCGCCGGCCTGATGTCTCAGGCAGAGGGTCTCAGAAGGGTGCAGAGGGTCTCAGGCATAGGCGTCACTACAGGGGGACAAGGGGGGGCAATTGCCCCCCCCTGTTTTATGCTTTGCCCCCCCCCGCTGAATTAAGCAGCAGTGCAGTGTCTCCAGTGCTGGTGCTAGTATACGAGCAGCTCCAGCGGCTGCTGTCTGTATTGATCTGGATGTAGCTGTATTGTCAGCCCCGCCCCCCTGCTGCTGACTTTGAAGTTGCTGAGCCGCAATGTGGCTGTAGCTGTGAGCCTGCCTGTCATGCAGTGTGTGAAGCTCCTCACAGTAAGTTCTCCCTCTGCTCTTAGAGGACGATCGTTTTTTAACACTTGCTCCTGCTCCTAGGTGGAGATGCAGGGCGTGTGAATACATAGTCTGTGAAGTGTGAACTGTCAGAGCACTTCTCCTGGTGCCACAGGAGTTCTGAGGGGAAGGGGGGAGGGGAAGGGAGAGAGGTTGTGATCCCGGGTGCAACGCCATAAATTAAAGATCTTTGTCCTGTCTGGAGGGGGCACTGTGCCGCTATACTAATAAAGTTATACAGTGACTGCTACTTCAGTGACCATAATTATTATTTGTTCTACAGACATGCAGGACAGGGCTTACTATGGGGCTTTTTTTTCATGGAATATAAAGTTCCTCCTTTTTGGCTAATTTTCTTCAATACCATCCTACAGTTCTGCGGGATTGTGGGCGGCGTTGGACTAAATGTCGCAAACGCGGGGTGCCGATGCCATCCGCAATTAAATCAGCTCATCGGTGCCCAGCGGTTGCGACATGCAATGAAAATTGTTAGTGCCCCCCCAGATTTGACTGTTGTATCTTATGTGCCCCCCCTACATATTGTTCCTAGAGTCGCCACTGGTCTCAGGAGGGTGCAGAAGGTCTCAGGAGGGGTGCGGAAGGGCTCAGCATGAGAGCAAAGGGTCTCAAGAGGAGTGCCGAAGGTCCCAGGAAGGGTGCCGAGGGTCTCAAGAGGGGCGTGGGAGGTCTCAGGAGAGGTGCGGAAGGTCTTAGTAAAGGTGGGGAAGGTCAGCATGGGAGCAGAGGGTCTCAGGAGGGGTGCCGAAGGTCTCAGGAGGGGTGTAGAAGGTCTCAGGAGGGGTGCAGAAGGTCTCAGGAGGGGTGCAGAAGGTCTCAGCATATGAGCAAAGGGTGTCAGGAGCGGTGCGTAAGGTCTCAGGAGGGGTGCGAAAGGTCTCAGCATGGGACCAGAGGGTCTCAGGAGGGGTGCGGACAGTCTCAGGAGGGCAGCGGAAGGTCTCAGGAGGGGTACAGAGGGTCTCAGGAGGGGTGGGGAAGGTCTCAGGAGGGGTGGGGAAGGTCCCAGGAGGGGTGCAGAGGGTCTCGGGAAGGGTGCAGAAGGTCTCAGGAAGGGTGCGGAAGATCTCAGGAGTGGTGAGGAAGGTCTCAGGGGTACAGAGGGTCTCTATAATTGCTAAGTCATATACAACCACAAAAATGTCTACTGATTGCATAAGACTGAGCAATCATTTATTTTTTATGACAATACAAGTTGCTCAGCAGTGTAAGGAATAGTAACTTGCATTCTCATAAAAAAGAAATGATTACTCAGCCTCAGTGCCAACACAAAATCAACAGTTAGCATTCAGGACCGATTCCAGTCACTACAGTCTACTACATAGAGCCAAGGAACTGTGCCTGCCTAAGTGCGTGCAGACGGTGCAGTATGCTGGCGGAGTCTGGGGAAGCCAGGCTGGCTGCACCCTAGGCAGCTGCGTAGTTTGCCTAGTGGTAGCGCCGACTCTGACTATATTATTTGGAACATGAATAAAATGTGCTGTATCACTTGCCACTGACTTGACTACATGACAAACACCCATGGTTTAGGAAACACTATAGTTATTCATCTTTTTATATACATCTTATTTTTTCTTTCCGTTTTTAACCTGAAAATCTTTCTCGTTCTATAGGCATGTCGGGGCCTTGAGCATGATGAGCCAGTCTTAGTTACAGACTGTACTGACAGTGCTGAGGACCAGCCTGAGGAGAATAGAGTTGAAGTAGATGCAGCCACTTTGTATACTCTGCCTGCCGGTGCTGATTTTATCATGTGCTATTCTGTTGCAGAAGGTATTGCTTTTAATAACTAACATTCTTTGTTCTATGAAATCAATATTATGTGGGTGCAAGGGACACATCAGTCCCAGTGGAGACCAAGAGCTCACTTCTTCTATGCTGAGCTGTATCTTAGAGCAATCTTCAAGAAGAACTCAGGGGGAAATTGTTATTAACCCTTGCAGTGGGACTACCCCCGTACTGCAAGGATTAACTGCTCGCTTGTGTCTAGGGAGGAAAATAACAAAGTTATACTCACCTGATCCTCTGAGCCGGCCTGCTCCTAGACCGGTCCCTGGAGCCTCTCGACACCAAGGGACATTCCATCGATGCAGCATAGAAGGAGACAGGTTGGAGGGAGTGCTGTCACAGCCAGCCAGCTTGGAGGATCAGGTGAGGATAACTTCCCTGTTTCCCCGAAAATAAGACCTACCCCGAAAGTAAGACCTAGCACTATTTTTCAAGATTCCTGTAATATAAGACCTACCCCAAAAATAAGACCTAGTTTGGTGGTAGCATGTGAGGGGGAACTTGAAGAGCAGGTGAGATGGTATTAGCCTGCAGGGACATACAGTATTAAAGGGATGACAGGGGACTCCCTCTGAAGTGGTAGAGGGAGCAGAGACACATTAGCAGATGCTTCCTCTATATCGCTAGTTACTGTGACAGGCGGAGTGATACCAGATGCACTCCGCCTGTGAAAGTGAAAGAAAGGGGTCAGCATTACCGATACTCACCAGTAGGAAAAGAAAGAGCAACAGTATTATTCTCATTCTTACGATACCAAAAAAAAAAAGACATCCCCTGAAAATAAGACCTAGGGGTCTATTCACAAATTCCTTCGGCTTAGTGTGTTTTTTTGGGGTAAAAAAAATATAAGACAGTGTCTTATTTTCGGGGAAACACGGTATGGTGGTTATTCACAAAGCTAGCCGAAGGATCAGCCGTAGCTCTGTACTGAGTACTTTTCATTTATTAAGTGCTGAGGCTGCAGAAAAAGAGATCAAGGACTCAATTGTGTCCTCAATTTCTATTCAAAAAGGAAATGTCAGGGATCTGTTCTGGCCCCCTGATATTTCCCCGAAGTCCGCCCAACAGTAAAAATAAAAAATAAAATAATGCAAACATTTAAAAAAATAAAACACAAACACCCCACACACACATATTATGCACGTGCAACAGTGTGCACCATGATGTGGTGTACGCCATGCACATGCGCTGCAGTGCGTTGTTGGAACACAGTGCCTGTGCTTTCAGAAAATATATGGTTTGGGGGGTCTTTTACAAACGCTAGCAACTCAGCAATAGAAAATCAAATCAATGGGAAAAATTGTGTTGCCAGCTGCGGTGCAAAGTGTTCCGGAGGGCTTGGCAGCGAAAGGGTTAATTTAAGGTAAAATAGAAGAACACTTAAACAAATGCATTGCTGCTTTGACTACTACTGTATATGTAATCTAATTGACTTTGGCTATTTGTATAAGTTTTACACATCTGTTTTAGGAATTGTAAAGTCATCATTGCTTGCCGCAGCAATCCATTTAAATTGCTCCAGGGCTGAGATGGAAAACACGTATGAAAGGAAAGTGTCAGTGTTCTATATAGTACCTACATAATAGCTCCATTTACTAAAGACAAATTCTATATAGCAGTTCAGTTTTTCCATTCCGAATCAGCTCAAAAGAAATCTGAATGCTGATAAAGAAGCCTGAACCATTTGTGTCTGTAGTATACATTAATGAGCACCCTATTTTTTAACCCCCTCTAGGCTACTACTCTCATCGTGAAACCGTAAATGGGTCTTGGTACATTCAGGATCTGTGTGACGCATTAGGGACGTATGGCGATAAGCTGGAATTTACAGAACTGCTTACACTGGTGAACAGAAAAGTGTCCCTGCGATCTGTTGAATTCTGCGCTGACCCTAACGCAATTGGGAAAAAACAAGTTCCTTGCTTTGCTTCCATGTTAACCAAAAAGCTCTATTTAAGATCCAAACAAAACTGACATAACTCTGGCAAGATGTTACATTTTATGTAAACATGAAACAAGTAAAGTTTAGAGATTTTGAGGAAACTGCATATTGTTTACAATTTTTTTTTTCTAATACCAGCATAATAGCCTATCAATATTTGAATATGAATTCTCAGGGAATTACTGTCAGGGATTGTTGCTTTTTTTTAGGCAGTAACTGTGTAAGGTGTCTATTTCTACCGTAAACAATTTTCAGAGCCATTTGTTTTGTGTATCTCTGTGAACTATCGTTCGGTGTGAATAGAAGTGAAAATGCATTTCCTTTACTGTAATGTAATGTTATGCCGGATTATGGCCACCAGATGGAGCTGAGGAGGATAGGAAATAAGTATTTTCTATGCTCCTCAGCTCCATCTAGTAACCATAATGCGGTATTACATTACATTCAACCTGAAAAGAAAATATACTGACAGGGTTATTCACAAAAGGATAAAGAGGTGGGAGAAGGCAGGAGAAGTGAACAATCTAGGACAAAATTGCTGATTTAGAAAATGTCTCCAATTCAGCTCAATTTCCAGTTCAGCTATGTTGTCCTAGATTGCTCACTTCTCCTGCCTTCTCCAAACACTTCTCCCTTTTGTGAATAACCGTGTAAGAACATTTGCTTTGTCTCTATTCACACAGAATGAACGTTCACAGGGTGAATGGCTCTGCGGATTATTTATAAATAGACCCCTTAGTTTGTCGACAATTATTTAAATCAAAAAACCCTGTTAGATATTGTCATTTTGTTTTAGAAAGGATTGTATACATGTGCCTTTATAAGCCAACACTGTTTTATAATAAAGTAAAAAAAAAAGTCCAGTGAATCTGATGCATTATTTCTATTTTGATGCCGGCAATAAACTTTATATTCAGACTTTTTTTAATTGTTCCATTATTTTTTTATTATTTAATCACATAATTTTTTTTAATTGTTCCATTATGTTTTAATTATTTAATCACATACATTGTTTTTTTTTTTTATTCTGTTTTTATTCTGTTTTTTTATTCTGTTTTTGTGGTCATCCCCCTGAGGGGCATAACCTATTGTTCCAAGGTATACAGTTTACACAACGTGAGATCACTTATAGCGAGGCCGTACATCTGTGGATATATAAAAAATATAAGCGCTAATAAATATAGTAAATAAGTGAATAATAAATGACCGCTGCAGTAAAGGACCAACAGATCTGTAATACTGTGGTCGAGAAATGATGATAAACCAATAACCCGCGCTAGTTCACTTATTAAAATGTGCACAAAAAATGTGAAACAAATATATAACCCAAAAATAACCTGTGATCAGTCAGTCATAGCATTATTACCACATAATTTAGCTGAACGTGAAATATATACAATAGGTACATTCATAAACAATTTACAATATAAATAATTACTGTATTTTGCGCTCCATAAGGCGCACCGGACCATAGGACGCAGGCAGGTTCTGTGACAGTTTCTGTGACAGAAACTGTTACAGAAGCTGCAGTTAGTGACCGCTGAGACAGGTGTAGCTGTGACTACAGCGCCACGGTCTCAGTGTTCACACAGAGGCTAGGGGCTCTATGGTGAGCTCCTATCCCGTCACGGGTCCCCCAGAGGAGTGTGGGACCCGAAAGCCACCGCGGGGGGGTCGGACTCGATCGCCGCCGCCGCTCGGTTTTAATACAAGTGATCTGAACAGATCACTTGTATTAAACGAGCAGCGGCTCCGACTGTACATTTAGCTCTGCTTTAGCAGGGCTAAATGTACAAAAAACTACTCGCCCGGCGCCCGAGAACTGCATGTTCCGGGCGTCGGGCAATAGGGATCCGCTCCACAAGATGCACACACATTTTCCCCCATCTTATGGAGCGAAAAATATGGTAGATAATCATAATCCATATAATTCAGAAAAAACTTTTAGTAAATTCATCCTAGCTTCAAAAGGCAAGTAATATTGGTGACAAGTTCATGTGATGGTGAAAAAATGTATATAAAAATCAAGTTGATAGTGAAATCCGGTAATCCCACTCCGACTAAAACATCAATGCTGGTTTATCATCGTAAATCTGTAGATGTTTTATAAGAACATCAGTAGCATTCAGCCAGGTAAGACCCTGATAGAGATGCCGGGTCAGTGAAATACCACAGCTGTCTGCGCTCTGTGTTTTTTTTTTTTATGCCCATCCGGCTTCTGAGATAGATACCAGCAAATTTAAAGGGGACTATGGGGTAGGTGCTTTTCCCCATAGTTCTATTTAGGGTCACGGTAGGACACATACTAACCTCCTCCCGTGACCCAAAGCTCAGTATATCGCGTGCTATTGTCCGCTATATACTGAGAATGTCGCAGCTGGGACGGATCCCAACAATACTGTCCAGATCCACCGACCTGCGTGAGTGACAGCTGGCTCTGCCTATCTAGAGGCAGAGCCAGCTGTGCCCGCCCCCTCCACCATTCATTCCTCCACTCAGCACTGGAGGATCGTGGAGGGGGGAATCCCTTCGGGGAGCAGTGACTGAGCAAATTGGCGGCATTTTTCTTCTCACTTCCCGATCAATAGAGCCGACCTGTGACAGCTTCTATGTCACAGGTCGGCTCTAACTATGAGGATAAGTGGAAATCACTCACCTCATAGATCTCCCTTAACTATCATTCTGCCCAATGGAAGTTAAATGCATTGCGGACCAAACAATATTAAAAAAAGCTGTTTATTGGCTTTTAACATGAATATCTTTTAAATCTAACATCTCTGGTTAGCTGTGGGCTGTGGCCTGAATGGCAAGACATTGGCACATGTCAACTAATTATGAACAAAATGATGCTTTCTTGTTGTCCACTTCATGTTAATTATGTAACTTATGCTAAAAGCCCCCATATTTAGAAGGACTTAATGTTGTCAAATGTCAAAGATGGCATATATGCCCCGTATATGCGAAGGATCAACTCTGCAATGTCAGGAAGTTACCTTAGCAGACATCTACTCAATGCAAACTAGTTTACTTGGGGAAAAACACTGACCCCATAGTTCTCCTTTAACAAACATAACTCCCGAAATGGAAACTCTGCTTGTACCGTGAGCCTCCTAGCTGTATATCTGCAGTGTAACATAAGGATTTGTAACGCTGGGCACACACCTTACAACCATCGCAAGACTTTTGTCTTGCGATGGTTGTAAGGTAATTAAAAAAACGTACGATCTGCCTATCTTGGACAGGCAGATCGTACTTGCCATGATCGCAAGCCCACCCCGCAGAGGGGCGGGCTTCCGATGAACGCAATGCTGAACGGCAGTGTGCGCTTGCGCACACCGGCCCGTCCGGCTTTAATCTTACGAACATGCTACACACCCGCCGAAAATCGTACGATGCTCGGCGGGTTTTCGAACATGTTCCTCAGATAAAAGTTGTGCGACCTTACAGTAGCAGAGGTCGCACGGCTCCCACACACCTTACGATAATCGTACGATTTTCCCGCGATTATTGTACGATTATCGCATGGTGTGTGGGCACCTTAAGCCTCACACTGCTGGTCCCAGAAGAATCAGAGTGAGACTGTGTGATGCCACAGCTGTGTTGCTCACTGTTCTCATTGCTGGACAGAAATCTGCAGTTCAAGGATGTCACTGCTCCTACTTTCTGCACTCTGTAAAACTGCACTTTCTTCACTTCTCCTGCTGCTACTACATGATCATTCCCCCACCAGTCATCACAAAGATGCAAAGTCCTGCACCTATGAAGATGGCCACCTCCACACTGAGAGGCACGCATAGTAAGTCCATCCTAGGGAAAAGATCAGCTGCAGAGAGACAACAGGCAACACTGGTGACTAGTCCTTCTCCCCGTCTGCCATTTTATGGGTGAAGCTTCCACAATACAGGTCCTTTTTTTAGTATCACCTACAGCTCTTGTTCTTCCACCAGCCTGTGACTGGTGAAAGGAGAAGCAGAAGACTGATGAGCTCATCTCACTGCTCTTTCCTCCTATTAGCATGATTCATGTTAGCACACGAGCACCGCAACACGACTGATTGGCTCCTTGTGCTGCTTCTTCCTCTCACACTTAGCTCAGCTGTAAAAGCAATATTAGTATTCAGTACAATACATTCTACATGCCTTTTTCCCCCTGTTTGTGTTCTGTAGTCCAGAAGGGAGAATTTAGGAAGTGCTGATAACACTGCTTGTCAGCTCACTAGAGGAAGTTAGGAAGGAGGACACTGGGGGAATTTCCTAAAGCTGGCCATACACCTATAGGATTATCTGCAGATTTTCTATGGTCAGATGGAAAAAGTACAACAGATTCCTCCATCTACACTAAACTGTGTGTATGGAGGAATCTCCCGCTGGGCCAATCTTCAGTATCTTGCTAGTCGGCCCCGCTGGCTCTCCAAATACCTGAACAATCTGATTGGATGCAGGCATTGTTCAGGTATTTTGAGAGCCAGCGGGGCCAACTAGCAAGATACTGAAGCTTGGCCCAGTGGGAGATTCCCCCTTGCAGTGGGGCTAACCTCGCACTGCAAGGGTTAAGTGTTTTTTTATATCTAGGTGCTAAAATGACAGTTATACTCACTGGAAGCTCCAAACTGGCCAGCTGTCACTGCGCTCCCTCCAGCCTGTCACCCCCTCCCTGCATCATTGGAATCTTCCTCAGCGTCCTCACGTCTATACACTGTGTATAGATGACCGGTCTAAGAAGAAGCCGACTTGGAACTTTGGGTGAGTATAACTTTTTTTTTTAAACCTAGACACAAGTGTTGGGGTAGCCATACTGCAAGGGTTAATGAAAACATCCCTGGAGTTCTTCTTTAACCTCGTCCCGACTGATGACAGGATTAACCTGTCACCATCGTTAAGTTCGTTAACGACCGGTGCCGGGATAATCCCGTCATGCGGTACAATGAGCGCTGGTCCGTGAAGGGTTCCGAGGCAGACCCTCAACAGCAGATTAAGTGGTCACAGCTCTGGGATCACAGGAAGAGCTTATGGCTGTGACAGTTGCACAGGCGGC